CTAAAAAGGAAAGTGTCCTGCGATATATCAGACAAATTGCATAGACCTCCATATAAAAAATTTGTATCATCTGTTTGACTTTAATTCCAGAAACGGAACAAATTTTCCCTATTGAATTAATCTTTTAACGGAACAACTAATGAATAAACTTGAAAATAAAACATTTCTTTTTTTATGTGGAAGGTTAATTCCATGGTTTACATACATCTTACGGGATTGCGCCGCGTATTCCTTCTATTACATAAATTATTGCTGTTTCAAACCAAATACGGCTCGTTGTCAAAGTCATTGTAATTTATGCAATAAAACGTTATGTGGAGCAATTCCATACGAAACACGAAAGCCATGGAACTGGTGAATAACGCTTTTCAGCAAAACGATTAACAATTCCTTATTTTCGACTGTTCTAAATGCTCGGTCAAAATGAAATGTAGATCTGCCGACAGATCATCTGCTTATCTGCAAACTGCGATTATGAAAATCATTGATGATCCATAAAATTGTTTGGCAAAAATTTAGTAACCGAATCAAATTTACCGATGACGTGTCAAAGTGGGTTAACCAGATACGCGAGCAAGTTGCAAATATCAAGAAATGGACAGAAACGTTAAAATCAGCGACAACTGCTTTCATCTCATTCTCATTGTACCAGTGGCTAAAGAGATTTCGGATCACAGATGGCAACATCATTATTATCATCATCTTACATGACCGCTTCTCCTTTCGGGTGACAGAGACAGACGCGTCAGACAGTGCTTCCAACGTTTCCGATCCTGTGCCAGAGTCTCAGCTTCGGCAGAAGACAATTGGAGTTTGGAACAGAGTCCTTCCATATGTTTACACCAGGTTAATCTTGGCTGATCCCTGGGCCTTCTGCCGGTCGGTTTGGCAAGAAACATTTGCTTAGCCTTCCTTTCTGGAGGCATTCGCTAAACGTGTTCAAACCGTCAGAGCTGTGGGTTCTCAATCTGAAGAAGCAGCGGCTGTAAAACAAGGATCTCGAGGATTTCTACATTTCGGATGATATGGAGGCGTGTAAGGACAGCAAATAGGGTCAAAAAGCCCAGTTCATCCGCCTGTATCCGGCATGGAATTTTTTCAGTCATGGTGCACGACTCATGGCCGTACGTTAGCATGGGGATAAAGATCGACTTGAACATCGAGAGCATAGTTTTCAGACTGAACTCTACTGTTTCAGACTCAACTGTTAGTCACAATGGTTTGGGCTAATTAAAGCAGAACGCCACTGGCTACTACAATTTGCCGATCGATCTCCTCCTCAAACTCTCCATCATTACTGAACACGACTCCGAGGTACGTGAACATCTCCACCTGCTCCACTGTCTCCGTTAATCTGAAGAGAGCAACGGGCAGGAGAACGAGAAAGCACTAGGCTTTTCGCTTTAGATGCGT